TGAAAGACTCTACCTAGCAGTGTTTCAAAGCAGACACTAAGACTCATAACCAAACCCTCTGCAGGCTTTTTCTATGTCTGTTGCTGTTGAGGTTCAGCTTTAAAATCACATGGGCGGTCCAGGAAGATCATTAGAGCAAAGATTAGCTGGGATACACCACTGGGAGCTTATAGGACTGATGATGAAACATTTGCAGAACTGACAGGAGAACCAGCAGTTTGGGGGGCCAAAGTGGGAAAAGGTGAGGAGAGGTTGGAAACTGAAGCATTGAGCAGACCATTACAGCAGCAGAGGCCATGTTAGGGAGGTTGGGGTTTTATTAAACATGGAAACTCTTTAAAAAAACAAACTGTCTAACTGATGTTTTCTGCCCCTTCTTAGTCCTGTATATATCTGAGATTTAATTTGAAATTTGCAAAAAGATGAACTACAAAATGATCTTTATAAATCACTCAATTTCCTGGCATTTGATTCACATAATTGGACTCTCAAAGAGTCAGCATGCCTACTCATTTCCCCCTCAAGTGCAACTGAACATCTCAGGATTACATAGTCGTCATGGTGTGGCTCTGCAGCGTTATCTTTCCCAGCCTAGCATCCTTTTGGTCCCTACCCCATAGGCTCCTCTGGACTCCTGTGTCTTATGAGCTTATGTGGGCTATAACCATTTTCAATGAAAATCTGTGTATGTGAACTCAAGTAATAGATCTGTCAATCGTGAAGTCCACTTTAACAGAAATCTAGATCAAATAACACCAAGACACCCAGATGATTCATGCGAGGTGAACAATGGGGCTTTGTCTGGATGCTCCTGGCACTCTCTCAAGTCACTCGAATGAAGAGATTCTAAATGTAAGAGACATTTAGTGGCTATTTTCAACTGAGAGCCGATGTTCCTCCAACTCAGTAACAGACGTGTCTGGAGATTCTTTGTTGAGACTAAGGTGCTGTTGGTGTCCAGCCAATAGATTCTAGGGACTCAGTCAAATGTCCCATGTTAGCACGGAGTATTCAGGACAGGACGTGTAGCAAAGAATCTTAGGTGTGGAGATTTCAGTAGTGCTGTGTTATCTTTTGATATGCTTGGTTTATCTTTTGGTATGTTACAAATAATGCTTGCTTACTGAGAAGAAACAATTGTCCTATGAATAGAGATATGTTTTGCTTAACTGAAAAAAAAATCTATTAAAAGTAATGTGAGATACATATTACTTAACTATGAAAAGTATCCCCCTATTGGCAACTATATCTGTTTTAAAATGAGAAACATGAAGAATATTTTAGGTAGGTGAAGATTTCTGCAGAGTTTGAGCTTGTCATTTGCATTTTTCCCCCAAAATACACTTTGATTAGTCTTACATAAACATCCAGAGGCCTTGTTCAGCTCTCCAATGAGAGCTGAAGCTTGTATCTTAGAGAAGCCTTCTGAGAAGAAAGGTGTTCCTTTAACACAAGTTTTGTTCAAACCTTGTACTTATTTGTGACATAGAATTATATACATTGTTATTTTGCGAGTTTTGATACATCATTGGCTAGAAACTGAGAAATATGATGAACTGTGCAATAAATGGTGGTAGACTGTTTTACCATTATTACTAATAAAGTTTGGGTTAGAGATGTTTGTTAGGTGTGAGAGCTGAACAGATTTCCCGAACTGAACCATCTAATGGGTCAACATTTTTTATCATGTCATCAAAGCCATCTGACTGGAGAAATAACAGAGAGTACCAAGAGGTGAAAGTTAAATGGATGATCTTATCAAATGGAGACAATCAGTACACACATACACACACACACACACACACACACACACACACACACACACACACACTCATTCCTAATTTTATTTAGGAACTTTTAAAATCTTTTTAATTTTATTTGTATTTCTGCATGCGAGTGTGCAAATGTGATTGCAGGTGTTTACAGAGGTCATAGGCTGCATGACCCTGAAGGTGGTTATAGGTTTGGCTGTGAGCTGCCTGATCTGAGCGCTACAGATAAAACTAGGCTCCTCTGCAGGAGCAAGATGCACTGTTAACCACTAAGCCATCTCTCTAAACAATTATCTGCATGCACATATATGGATACATACTTATGTGTGTGAAAATAGGAAAACCGTCTTTAAAAGCACACACCAGATTGTTTGTGCCATTTGCTGGCTGAGGTTGGGAGAAGGGAAAAGGAAGAACATTGTTACTAAAACAAACAAAAAAAAAAAAAAAAAAAAAAAACAACTTGTGACTAGGAAAAGAAATAATGTAGATTCAAAATTAGTGTCACCGGCTTGCTTTGGTGATGTTCTAGGTGCTTAGAAATAAGAAGGTGTCCTTCAATGGCAGGTGTTAACAGAAGGCAACTTTAAGACAGAACAGAAATAAAGTGTTACAACAAATAGCGTTGATGGGTAAGGAGAAATTACAGCCACCAGCTTAATGGCTGCTGTGTGTTTACCATGAAGCAGTGTGTAAGGTAATATCTTCCTTCCCAAGATATGGCTCCCTTCTCAAGCTGCAGAGGAGCATAGGGCCAGATGGTGTGGGCTCATTTTGCCCGCTGACCAAGCAATAAATTGTCTCTCACGTCTCCTTATAGAATTGGTGTTGTTTATTGCACCAGTAATCTTCACACTGGGAACAGACCTAGTGGTGAGGTCCTCCCCAGAATGTCAACCCACTAGCTGCAATTCTCTTCCAGCCGTGCTTCCTTCCCCATCTAGTAGTTTATGCTCGACAGATCTTGGACCAGAACTCAGACCACAAAATTAAAACATTCTGCTTAATAAGGCCAAATGCAAATTGCAAAGTAAGGATATTAAGGGCTAAAGTGGCACCTTAGAAAAGTATTTAAAGCCATATAACTCCCACCAAAGGCTACTCTGGATTTAAGTAAAGATCTTTGAATGTTACAGTAATTTCTTTTTAAAAAGACTGTTATTGTGAAACTATTAAAAACAAATGAAAATGACAAAATAATATATGAATACGAACTTAATTAGCAGTGCTGTCTTACTTCACGCTTAGTTGACAGGAGAAATAATTTTTGTCAAACAATTGAAATAATGAACTTAAAGATAAGAGTATAATTACCGAGAAAAATGAAACTCACTAAAGGTTTTTAAATGTATATTATAAAATATTATAATCAGGTGTCATTCCTGTGTTGATTGACTGACTGTTAGTCAGCCTTAAACCAAGATCCATTCTGAACACGGTAAAATTCTGTCAGCCTGAATGCATCCTCAGGGCCTGGTGTTCAAAAACGTGTTCTGTTCGGTACATCATTGCTTCCTTAATGTCTTTGTTTCATGTGACTGTTCCTGTTTTTCAGACACACTATGAAAACGGAGAATACATCATCAGGCAGGGCGCAAGAGGTGACACCTTCTTTATCATCAGCAAAGGGAAGGTAAGCTTGAGCAGCTCACTGTGGAATGCTTGTGTGGAGTCCTGTGCCATGAGCTGCCCATTCCCTATCTGAGGATGGACCTTCTGAAGTAGAATGTAAGAAAAGAAGGCATGCAATCCTGTGTCCAGACGTTAGCAACCGCGACACCAGGTGCTACTGATACATCTGCACGAATGGAAGTCTTCAAGAATGGCCACTCTCCTATCATGAAACATCCAGGCTTTAGAATCCAATGGCCCCAATTTGAATCTTCCGGAAAATGAACTTATTTTACTCCTTTTAGGCCAATGGCTTGATGTTCTAAAGGCAATGCTGATGTAAATATATCTATGTTATACTGTAGCTTCATGGAGAAGCTATTGAAACTGGTAAAGTCTAGGAGGAGAAGTAAAAACGGTTATGCCATGGTTACAAATGGTTATGTGTTCTTGTATTATTTTAGGATTTACTTAGTGTGAATCTATTATAATACTTATTTTTGAACTATGAAATTAAGTAAACTTAGACCAATCCTCTCACCGCATTACCCAAATACTTGAACGTAACATTTCTTTATAAGTTATCCTTAAAGAGAGTTTCTTTTTTTTGTTATTTATCAGGTTTGATAAGATATATAGAGAGAAAAGCAAGTAGAGAAGACTTACATGCCTGTTTTATTATTATAATCATTTAAAAAAACAAGTGAACCTATTTCTTAAATATTGCTCAAAATGCCCAACACTGGTACTTAGAACTTACTCCAGAAGGCCTGCAGCGATGGTGTAACAGGAAGTACGGAAGACTCTAAATCTTAAGTGACCTATATTTTAAGGGATTCTTGAGGACTGATTTTGAATCAGGATTACACATGTCAATACTTATAGCAATGGCACGCCATGCTAAGATACACCAGTCTTATGTGTTTTGCTGTATTTGTTCATTGGGTGGGTATCTGGAAGCCTGAGATAGAAACACCCATCGTGGACTGGTTGTATAAAGAGTATATTGAGGGGCCAGTGAAGTGAGTTTAACAGGAAAAGGTGCTTGTAACCAGGTCTAATAACCCAAGTTCAATACCCAGGACCCACAATGTAGAAAGAGAGCATCTACTTCTGCAAATTGTCCTTCGACCTTTGTTGGACACTTTGGAACTATGGCATAGGAACGTCCAGGTACATGCACAAACACACACAAAATAAATAAATAAAAATGTATTCTTTTAATGTCCAAACACAGTTATAGCTAAAATTATATTTTGCATTTCCCATTGTTAGGGGATAAGGACATGCTACTGCACTGCAGTTTACAGAAGAGACTGGCAAACTTTGTCACTTGCCGTCTTCTTGGTTAACTAACCCCGATCAAAGAATGAGGAAAAGAAAATCCTCGTGCCTCTAAACCATTTGACGACCTCAGGAGGATGCTGCATCCTGGAGTCTGGCTTTGCTTTATCCTTCCAAATTGCTAATTCTTTGCTGCCAAAGAGTGGCTATGCTAACCCATTGGGAAGGGCACCCTCCAGTCATTTATGACTGTCCCATTACTGCAAATTGCCAGTATTGCCTGAGGGAAGTAGAGGTTTGTAACCCATTTTAGCTGAAAACAGGTGCGTTCGCAGTGCTGTTTTTATGAGTTCTGTGCCATGTATAAATAGAAGCACTTGGAGAGTATACCACAGGAACCAATTACTCCAGCAGTACTTTGGTACAATGTTAGAATTTTGAGAGAGAAATAGCCACAATATACCAGATTCCTTTGGCACAGTCAAGTTTGTGTATGAACCAGCTGTAGAATTTTTCTTAGTTTCTCAGGTCATACAAGTCATTCGCTATGATTCACAACTCTGACAGCTGTTACATTCATTATATTAATTCTGATAATGATTCATCAAAATCACTGTAAGAAGAAGAAGGTGCACACGCTTGTCTCTGCCGTGTGGAACAAGCAAGAAAATAGTACGTTGTGTTTGTGATGCAAATAAGCTATGAAATTAGACTGTTATAAGATGAATTTATTATAGGTAAACTACTTCTTTTCCCATGAATTTATAAAATTTATAAGGGGTAACCCTGGTAAAGATTTTTTTTCTCCAAAAATAATTATTATATCTTTTAAATTTATTTTGTGTGAATGCTTGTGTTGGGGAGATTATGTGTCACTGTGTGTGTGTGTGGTGAGAGGGAGAGGGCGTGTGCATCAGAGGACAGCTTGCAGGGCTTGGTTGTCTTCTCCCGTGATGTAGGTCTCAGGGATTGAATTCAGGTCATTAGACTCCTCTACTCACTGAGCCCTCGTGACAGCCCTGGTAGTGACACTTTTTTTGTTACCGCTTGTCTTAGTTACTTATCTATTGGTATGCTAAAGCACCATACCAAGGCAACTAATTAAAAAAAAAATTTAATTTGAGGCTTATGGTTTCAGAGGGTTAGAGTCCATGATCCCAGAGCAAATGCTGAGAGCTCAGAGATTCATCTGTGAGTTGGAAACAAGAGAAATGAAAGACACTGGAAATGGTCTTTTAAAACCTCTGAGCTAGACCCTAAGCGACACATCTTCAATAATCTAAGCTCCTAATCCTACACAGTTCTACCAGTTAGGGACCCGGTATCCAAACACATGAGCCAGTAGGGACCATTTATATTCCAACCACCACAGTGCTTGAATAAAAGTTTTCTTAAAAATAAAAAAGATGCTGTCAGAGAGGAGGAGGATGGAAGGAGGAACACAACCGTACTACAGAGCAACAGATGGATTTCCACTTGTTCAGCTCTATTTGTCTAACTGCAAACCACGTTTTATCCTTCCATTAAAGGTATGCACACAAAAGATAAACATAATATAACCTTATTAAATGTTTTTTTCTAAAATTGGAGGCTCAATGCTTGCAGCAGCAATTTCCAACTCAGAAAGTAAACTCATTCTTTGTTTGTTTTTTTTTTTTTTTTTTTGAAGTCGGTACATTCCTGTTTTCTGGGAGGACATATCGAAGATTTCTGCAAATATCCCCAACAGTCTTGTATCAACACCCTACCTCTCTTTAAATGAAAATTTCCAAAAACTGAAAAGGATTACTAAATTTCAAATTAAAGCCCTGAGATACAGGGTTGGAGAGCTGGCTTCGCTGTTGAGAGAACATACTCCTCCCAGAGGGTAACCAAGTTTGGTTCCTAGTACCCACATCAGGCAGCTTTCTATAATGTCAGTTTAGAGGTTCCTGTACCTCTGACTTCCAAGGTCACCTGCTCTCAGGTGTACATACTTCCCCCTCCCCGCTTACAAACATACATACACATTTTCCCGACACACATAACTAACAATTAATAAAAAATAAATTTTACAGTGAAACCAAGACAGGACTACCTTCTTAATAGAGTATCTGAGTGGGAAGGAAATGCTAACCGTACCAAGTTCTAGTGAAGCAAGTAGAATTCTGAGACATTATTGGCTAAATTGCAAAATTAAAATATTCTGAAAAGCAATTTGACTGCTTCTCAAAAATTAATAAATGTTGACCCTATGATCCAGCAACCTCATACTTTATTTATTTATTCTAGAGCAATGAAAATGTAGTTTTCACAAAAACATGCTCATCAATGTTTGCAGCAAAGCAATCCAATAGCAAAAATAGTCACAGAGGATAATCAGATATCATCCAAGCCAAATACAATATGAAAAAAAAAATTGCCCATCAGCACAATTCTCTGTGATCCCCACCCACCTTCCTAGAAAACAGTCTTACAATGCTAAACACTACTGCCTGAGCAGTATATATAAACTTTCATTCACAGATGGTGAAGGTAGATACTTGTGCTCAGAGTCAACACCTAAAAAAAACTAAACGTGTTTAGTTCATAAGCTCGTTCTTTATTTGTGTAGGCATTGACTCTATTGAACCCTTACTCATGGGTGCCAGAAAACAAGTACAGGAATATTTGCTGAAACTTTATTAATGATATCATAGTAACAACATATAACAATAAAACTCGTAGCTACATTTGCATCTAGAGAATTGCTAAGCTATATACTATTTATGTAATAGGATATTATGCAGATAGAGGAAATGAATTTGAGCTGTTTATATTAACATGAATGAATCAGAACCGCCAAGAGTATGGAACCAGTAACTTCTACTTTAAATAAGACTCCCACTGAAGCTTCTTCATCTATAAAAGCCTCATCAACATGCAAATTAGTATCTCTATGATAGAGCTCTATGGTAACTGACAGAGTTAAAACTGAATTTTCATGGTTTGAAACGCCACGTAGAAGAGTAATCAAATGGATCAATGGAGAATAATAATTGAATTCCCCCTGCCTTGCACAAACCTCCCTATAGTAGTAAAAGTTCTGATCACTGATGTCCTATATCTAGGTTGAGAAGCCTAAAGCATGCTGGTTTAATGTGTTTAAGTACTTGCGTTGTTACACTAAATTAGTTTTCTACTTCATTGCATTTTACAGGTAGGTGAATTTTAACTATTTAATTTTTCTGGAGGATAGGCAGTTTTATTATTACTATATCTCAAAGAAGAAGTGAATGAATGCAAAGATGCCCTTCAGTATAATTATATCTCCTTAAACAACAAGAAAACACCATTGAAAAACAAAGGAAAACCATTGACAGACTACATCATTAAATTCATCAAACTGGTTGCCTCACTGAAGCTAATAAAATCCGGAGCAGCAATGAAGATGAAGTAAAATTCTTATTTCTCAGCAGCACATTTTTTTTTTGAAAGGAAATGAAATATTTTGATTAATTCTTGGAAAGGCATAGCAGTTGCAAGCATGCAAATTTAGATCAGCCTTCCTAATGCTGCAGCCCGTTATTACTGTTCCTCACATTGAGGTGACCCCCCCAACCATAAAAAGATTTCGTCGCGTAACTGTAATTTCGCTCCTGTTACGAATCGTAATGTAAACCCCTGATGTGTGGGATATCCAGTGTGTGACACCTCTTCCCCCTAAGGGATGACAGCCCACAGGGTGAGAACACTGATTTAGACGCTCCTTTCTCTTTGTAGGTGAACGTTACTCGAGAAGACTCGCCAAGTGAAGACCCAGTCTTCCTTAGGACTTTAGGGAAGGGAGACTGGTTTGGAGAGAAAGCCTTGCAGGGGTGAGTACATCAAGTGTGCACAGTTTTTGTTTCAGTACTATACAATTTACCGAGAAGTTGAGCTTTTGGTGAAATACCCCCTTCTCTTACGGCCCACGCTAACACCCCAGACGTAGACCTTTTTGGCTGCTGTATTCACTAAGTTCCTGCTGGATTTGTGATCTGTTTATACTGTCCGTGGGATTGAGGAAGCTTCTAGTGTACCTGTGGTCTTGATCGGACCATTTTTCAGCTTTGTGGTGAAGTCTCTCCGTGTAACTCAAGCGGGAAGGCTGGGACCCTCAAACTTCCTGCAGCTTTCCATGCAGTCGGAGAACGTGGCGGTCTAGGGAACTTGAAACCTTTAAACCTTTAAACAGCGGATCAGCAGTGAAGTCTTCCCAGAGGGACGGTTGTATCTGGTGACTGTTGTCACTGCGGTTACTGTTGGGAGACTGACACACGTGTATCTGAATTCACTGTGGGAGAGCTCCAAAGGCTGGGCAGGTGGAGATACACTGCAAGATGATTGGCTTTTTGTGTTTCAAAGCAGCATTCAGAACTTGACAAAACCTTGAGAGTTCCTCCCAAAGCATGTGGAAGAGAAGTCAAGTCGGTTTTGTGGCACATATTTTACGGAATCTGTGACGAATATGTTTGGGGGCCCTCATCTTCCAATAAGCAACCTATTTCCATTATCAGTAAATGAACATGAGACTTTTCAGATTTCAGCGCCGTATGTATACACAGAATTTGAATAAGATCCAAATAAATGCTTGTTTTTGTTTCTATAGCGCTGGGATAAATTTTACTCTGATTAGAATAAATAGTAGATATTAGATATTAGAACAGTTAGTCTTGGTTCCACTTCAGATTGCACCTTCATTTTAAAATTATAATCATTCATCTGAAAGTATCACCTAAGCAATTTTTATTTTAGTGCCATGGTCAGATGGCAAGTTTTATTTTGCTTCTCATTTCACAGCTACACTAATGAAACCGGGTATCCATATAGTCCTTTTACTCGGGCTATATCACCTTTGGGAAACTGAATATAAACTACACTCAACTTTCTATCTTTTACTGGGCTCATTTGCTCCTTACCTGCTAAGCATACATTTGCCATTAGATTTCTCCCAATATCAAAACTGGAAGAAAACATGAACTCTCTTAGCAATACTGAAATGTGTAGATTATTGGAACATATGCTAATCCTAGCTCAAAATAAGTCAACTTTTTTTCTCCTGTTTATCTCCAATAGATGTATTCTGTTTATATACCATATTCCATAACGACATTAAATTACTTCCTAACTGACATTGTGTAATTAACTCTTTTCCTCCATTCCTTTGCCAATACATGCCATCCTTTGCCTCTTTGATAATTGCTATTCTAAGAGGTACCAGATAACACTTTATTTGGGTTTTAATTTACTTTTCCCCAATGGTTAGAGATGATGACCTGACCTCCCCGTATCTATTAGACACACCCATGTTTATTTAGGTTCTTTGCCCGTCTATTTGTATAGTAACTTGTACTCCTTATCTGAATTAATTTCTTATTAGATGCATACTTTGCAAACATAATCCTAATCAATATGTTCTCTTCGCTCTGCTCATAATCCACTTGCTTTGATTCTAACACCATTGTGCTGGTTATTTTTTGTCAACTTGGCACAAAGTGGAGTCATCTGGGAAGAGGGAACTCTGTTGAGGAATTGCCTCCATCAGATTGGGCTATGGGGCATTTCCTTGATTAATGATTGGAGTAGGTGGGCCAAATCCACAATAGGCAGTGCCAGCTCTCGGTGGATAGGTTGTGCTGCTTAAGAAAAGTAGCTGAGCAAGCCAGAGAGAGCGAGGCAGTAAGCAGCAGTCCTCCATAGTCTCTGCCTCACTAGCTTCCTCCTCAAGTTCCTGCTTTAGCTTCCATCAGTGATGGACTGGAAGCTTTAAGATGAAACAAACCCTTTCCCTCCTATTTTGCTTTTTGGTCATGGTATTATTCATCACAACAACAAAAAGCAAAGCAAGACATCATTATTTCTGGTTTATTTCCCTGTGCTTTTGAATGATAACAGAAAATCGCTGTATGGCCAATATCGTGTAGCTGTTCACTCTATTTTTGCATAGTTCTTATTCAGTTACAGGGCTTGTGCTTAAATACTCATTCATGCTGAATCATATAAGGGTATGCAATTTGCCAGCATACATTAAAGAGCATGTCCTCATTGTATGTTTGTGGAGCTTTTTTCCAAGTGAGATGAATGTGGGTTTGTGAATTCAGTTTCATTTCTGGGCTTTCTGTCCTGCTACATTTGGTGAATCTGTTGTTTGTCATTTGTAGGGAAGTAACATGCCATTCTAATTACTCTTAATTTTAGTGTAGATTGGAACCAGGTGCCTCCTACTTGAGTCATTTTGCTCATAACTGCCTTGGATTTACTCAGTTGTTTTAAGACAGAGTCTTACTGCATACATGGCTCAGACTGACAGGGAAAGCACTCTCTAAACCAAGATGGCCTTGAATTCACTGTCTGCATGTCTCAGCCTTCCAAGTACTGGGGTTATACGAATCTTCATTGAAGCCATTTTGTTTGTATTTGTGTTATTATTGGTCACTTGGTGGTGGTTTCAGATGAAGTTTAGATCTTTTCTATTTCATGAAAAAATGGTAGTAGAATTTTGGTAGAGAGTAATTTGAATCTATAGGTTGCTTCAAGTGGTCTGAGCTTTTAAAAACTCTTCCACTTTATAGAAAGGTCATCTGTTTTTTTTATTTGTTTCTCTTTAAATTTTTCTTATTACTGTTTTATAGTTTCAGCTGTATAGATATTTTCCTCAGCTAAATGATTTTCTATTTTACATTTTGTCACTATTATAAATGAAATTGTTATCTATTTCTTTTCCAGAAACTTTATTATTAATAATTGTAAATAAAGTATTTTTTGCATATTGAATTTGAATTCTACAAATTTATGAATTTTCTGTCAATTCTAAAGTTTTGTAGGATCTTCAAGATTTTCTGCATATTAGGAGGAAGGATTTATAAGAGATATGTGACATTTCTCTTTGGAAATGTCTTTGGTGCTTCAGTGATTATTTCTCCTGAATGGAATCAGATTTCCATGATGGCTGGAGATGACATAGTATTTTTTTTTTAAATAAAAATGGGTTTCTTAACTTAGCTCCTTTAATCAGGAATTCATTTTCAGTGGTGAAAACTGAGCTACTTAAAAACAAATAAACAATCCAACCCTTATTGTTACTTTCCAAACTATCATCCAGACAAATAATTCTCTTCAGGTTCCACAGGATAAGAAAAAAATTGTAAAATTGAAAAATCTATTCAAATACAAAAATGTTCCATTTGAAGCTAATTTCTTTGTTAATGAACTCTGCTAGCATTTTGTATGTCATTTTTATTACTTCCAGATCTAAATGATTGCTTAATTTTTCTTTCTGTAGTGTAGAAAAATGACTCATTATAAATCATTCTTTAGACAGGAAACATAGATACTAATTGGCTAGATTTGTTGTTACTGCACTAATTACTTATGATGCCTGGAAAAGTATTTTAGCTGTTTGAAAAATATCTCTGAATATTCTTGTCAAAATTATATGGCTGAAACATCATTTGTTTATTTGGATTGAGATTATGTCCACATGAGGCCAGCACTGCCAACTGGGTTTGGTTTTCATGGTTCTCATTTTTCACACATTGATATCAAGTGAGACATAGACCAGAAAAATATATTACATGATTACTGTCTTATTCTACATTCTAGAAGCAGGAAAATTACAAGGTTAATATTTTAGACCATTTCAATAAGTATATAACAGACGTGAGCCAACTAATTCTGGCTAGCCATTTTGACACAAGAAAAGTAGTCTGGCTAGTGTCATCTTGTAAAACGCTAATAAATAGTCTTTTCATGTTTGTGACTTGGTCAACCAACGGTCAATTAAAAATTGAAATAATAGGCTTCATGTACTACATCGAAAACTATGAAAGGGTGAGAGATGAACATGAAAAATATGTCAGTCCTACACAGCAAAGTTATATGACATTCTCTGGAGAAACTGCAATTCAAGTTAAAATAGAGAAAGACCCTTTTATATGTAATTGACAAGTTAATTTAAAAATTATAATGAAAACACAAAAACCTAGCATGGCTAAACAGCTCAGAGAAAAAAAAAAAAAAGCAAATCTAAAGACTAATCCTACTAACTTTCCCTGTGGCTTAAAGCAACAGTAAACAAGACAGCATGTTCTGAAGATAAGATACATAAATAGATTTAGGAACATAATGAAAATGAAGCTAACCTACACGCCAGTCAGTTTTGCTATAAAAAATTCCATAGACAGTTAGCTTAGCCAAAAATAATAGCTTCCTGATAAGTTGTGAGAAAGCAGGGTCAGCATGCTCACATCCTGTTGACATCGTTCTCGTATGGGCAATTAGAAGGAGTGGTTGCGACTCTGGGCATCTCTTCTTATAAGAATTCCAGTCCCAGGCTGTGGGCCCCAGTCAAATAGTCTCATCCAGAGCCAAGTGTCTCCAAAAGTCTCCATTTCCAAAATACCATGAATGTGAGAAATCTTTTAGCTAAGATTTTCTGGTGGACACAAATCCATTCATAGCATTTGCTGATTGATCGTCAGCAGAGACTCAAAGCTGATATATTTAAGAAATGCCAGCATTTTCCCACAAATGGTATTGACACAGTTAGATATACATTAAGGTAAATAAATAAATAACTTGAACCCACAACTTGCATATTTCACATCATATAGAAAGAATTAAAATGGATTACATGTCTGAATATAAACTACAATTTAATGAATTTTAGAGTGAAAGAATCTATTATAAAATTTTAAAACTTTGCTTACGTAGGTTAAAAGATTTTTTTATAATTATTTTTTATTTTTATTAATTACAATTTATTCACTTTGTATCCCCCCTATACCTCCCTCACTCCCCCCCAGTCCCACCTTCCCTCTTCCCCACTCGTGTCCTT